GATAGTCTTTATATCTACGCAGACAGTGGAAAAACAAAAAATATTATATATCCACAAGTATTGCAAAATTAAACTTATATGAAATGTATTCTTTGTTTTGTTTCTCATTTCTCAACCATTCAATCACAATGTGCCACTGCGAAGCGTGGCAGGGTACAGCTAGTAGATTATAAATATAACGTGCAATTATCAAAAAAAATCGTTTACTCAAGCACCCTGTACTTTATTACATATTTTTATTTTTTTAGCAAAACTGCTACATTTTTTAATAAATAAAATCGCTCCTATGCCTAAGAAATACTAAAATTGGTTAGCATTGGTCAGTGCATCCACCCGGAAAGCGGAGGGTACGGGTTTGAGTCCCGTCTGATGCCTGGACCGCGTGCAATTTTATTCTTGTAAAATTTTCTTTACATTTAAACACCTATACTCTTTTCAATTTGATTTTCGATCGTGATCGTCAGCATTGTCCATTCTTCTAACTTACAAATATTTTAATGCCTCAGAGTAAGACATGAACACGTTCACGTTACATCGACTGCTTATTTTAAAAGAAGACGCCGACGCAGAATTTTCTGCATAATCACATTATGCTTATCACCACACCTGCGTGGCGAAGCTTCGGGTAGATTTGGTACTAAAGTGCGCAAAAAATTGCGTTCGAATTTTAAATTACACTTCTTCTGCTGCACATACAAATTTATCGTTTTCCACAACTTTTTAAGGCCCGTATTACAGAATGACAACTAAGTGTTGATCTTTACTTGAGTATAGTTAGAAAGGGATAGTCATATAGCATATAGCGACATCCCTTTCTATCTATGCTCAAGACTAGATTAATTACTGAGAATCTTTCTATAATACCGGCCTTAGAGTGTCAAATATTCACCAGTCAAGCTATCGTTTAGCGTCTATAGACACGCGGCCCGCTAATTCATTACAACAGAACTAATTCATATTTAGAATGGTAGTTTTAGCGCATTTAGTACCAAAACAACTCGAAGCTTCTTCGCGCAGGTGCGGGAGAAGCATTAAGTTTACGGCGGCGCTGAATACACAAGGTTCCACAAACATAATTACTGATCATGAAGGAATTATTCTGTCCAGGAGGCAGTTCACCCTGAATGATTCCAACAAGGTGCAGACAGTGAACTACAATTGGCTCGGTAACGTCTCTATCAGGATCAGCAGCTGGAGCATGACCCGCGTCGGCTCCGCACAGGGGGCGTCCTTTGTCCGCACGAGTGGCGGCGTCGGGACTAACCATCTGTCGCTGCGCATGACCACCGCGCGTGGCAGGGGGCTCAACTACATCCTCGAAATATGGGGCCGATAAACTTATTGCACCTTATATGTTTTATATTTTCATGGTCACTAATATTATAGTAATGTTTTGTTTTTAGTGGGATTGCTACCATGAACACTGTTTTCCTTCACTGCGTGATCGTGGCGCTTGCAACAGCGCCGAAATATGGATACATACATGGATGCAATCTCGCTAATAACAAAAATGTACGTCATTTTGGACCTTCTTATTAAAAACAGAATGAAATGGCTAGCTCACATTAAAGATGTAAGGTTTAACCGTACAAAGTGCAATTGAACATTAATGTATAATTGTAAGCAATTTAATAATAATATTAGTCAATTCAGCTAGTAATCAATCAGTGTTTTGAACAATATAATTATTACTTTTACAAATTGTTTTCTTCTCTCTCACTTACCTATAATCATCTTAAGGTGTTCAATAGCAAATCGTTTAACAAAATAAGTAAAGGAGATTGCTCAAATTGGCCCAAATGCACAAAAAATATTGACATACACGGTAATTTATGATTAAATTTACAGTCATTAGATTTCAACGGATACCTTTTTATAATATATTAACTTTAAAAAGGACTTTTAATTTTACCGGTTTGGAAAACATACGAATCATTTTTGGTGTAGTAACATTCAGCCAAAGACTGATCGAGGTTGTTTATATAACATAAAAACAAATCTATTTTGTAAAGATCGATAAAATATTTTTATTTTTTTTATTACACTGTGGTATTAATATCCACAACGATATTATCATTTTCACTAAATGCAAATGTGCTCAGACAATTATTATAGATGGTAGGCGACATCATAAAGTCTATTGCCATACATTTTTCGCCAAATACCTCCATAAACATATTATAATCTGTATATATGTTAGACTTTAAGGTATCTATCTATGGGCCTACGTTCCCTGACTATAAATTAATAAATAAATAAAATTATAAGGTGTGATACACTAAAAATCTAAAATATGGTTATCTTAAAAACATAACAAAAATAATGAAGCTACTGAATATATGGCTATAGAACCTAAATCTCTTAGCTTTCTTTGGTTAACGGGAGTTTAAAAATTCTCTCGCAGTGGTCGGTCATTGGATGGGTGACCAAAAATCTTCTATCTCGAGTTCCTCCGTGCTTCGGAAGGCACGTGAAGCCAATCCGCACTGGGCCCTCGTGGTGAGTCATGGTCCAATCTCCCTATTCCATCTATAGGGAAGGCCTATGCCCCAGCACTGGGGACATTAATAGGCTGATGATGATGATGATGAATACATGTATACCGTTTAAACTTGTTTTACTTAATTTACTTTTTGTGAAGAGGACATAACAATGACCTGTTCAAAAACTTGGTGCCCCGATACTTTTAAATTATATTTTTTTAATTTTACTTAATTTCTTATAGTAAAGAATATTATAATTACAATGAAAATAAAATTATGAAAATTACTTCCTCGTAAACGAAACGAAAGCGAAGTTAGACTGTAAATATTCTCGTGACCAGGGGCGACACCAGCAATAACAATAAATAACCTTATTTTGTTGATTGCTAAATTTTTTTATTTCTAAAATTTCTTAAATTAATATATTAGAATAGGAAATATTGTATCGGCTGCTTTAGTTCTACCTTGATTCGAATCCCTTAACGCAAAGAGTTGTTACATATATTTGATAATTGCATAAAGAATATTTATTCCAGTTACATTTATAATTGTTTAAGTATGACTGGTAGTTACTGTAGCTAGAAATCAGGCACCAAAAAAACGGTTACATATTAAGATACAATTATTTTATTCGCCTAGATTTCATATAAAATAACATATAAAATCTAATTAGTTTTCATTTATAAAGTTACGCTCCTAGGGCCTATCCCTTTAGGGTAGATCGCCGCAGTAACATCCATAACTCATTAATGTGGTAGATAAATTCTTTTCTATTTACTTTTGGCAGAACCACCGCTCTTGTAAATTTAAGATAAAGATCGAAGATAAAGGATCTAGCAACTCCTTATGATGATAGACATCTGCAATACCAGCGGCGTCACAGATGCTATATTGATCTAAATAAACTTTAGATGTTACACTTGAAGTTTATTGGTAGATGATGGTTTAAAAATTGATAAAGATATAAAACTATCTAATAACCTTCGCTATCATGTCAACGCCCACTAAAGAGAACTCCTCTAACAATGATGGATCCTACACTGCCCATTCAGCAGATTCCCGTGGCAATCACAAAATCATTAGTCTATGTGAAAGCTATGTGAAAGCCCGACTCACCGAGCATCGCCCAGTTAGCAGTCATACAGAATTCTTTCCGCCCCATCCCTCAGTCATTGGGTCCACAGCCAACTTTCTTTATTTCTAAGAAATTCTACGAGCGTTAAAGATTTTCTTATTTTCATACAAGGCAAATACTACAAATATCAAGCATCGCTCTCTATTGCCCTCTATGCAAACTTGTGCCTTCATATAAGGCCAAAAGTAAACGGCTACATTTAGTTTTGTGGGGTTCCTATGGATCGCTAGGCAGGGAATGTGGTTATAAGGCGCAAATTATACTCTGGTACCACCAGGGTATTTAAACCAAAGATATTTTTTATAACCCCTAAATTTAATAACCCTCGTGCGCTCAAAATCTGTCCCTATCAAGAAGTGCTTGAACACCACTCAAGCAGTTCTTGGTTCACAGTCACGAGCGAACCATTGAAAAGTCAACATGCCGCAGAGCTCCGTGAATAAATGCGAAATAAATACTTTTAGTACGTAAAGTGTCCTTTTTTCGACAGGTATCTTATAAATGTTTGTTAATTTAACGCATTTGAAGCAAATTTTGTTCTTATACATACTATAATACTTACCAGCCATTAATGTTGTTGGCACGTCCTTTCTTACCTTGAAGCCTGCAATAAAAGTTTAACTAAATAAAATAGTGACTTTATATAAAGTCTGTTTCAAACAATAATCTTGTAGAAAACGGAAATAATTTAAATAACTACTTGGGACTGTCATGTTACCTATATCATAATAACGAGCTTATTAAATCTATACTTATTACTTGTATATTATATTTATATTTTTATATAATATTATAAAGAGGAAAAAAATGTATGTAAGTATGTTGGTAACAAATTGGCTCAAAAAGTACTAGACCGATTTTAAAAATTCTTTCACCATTTGAATGCTACATTCTCACTGATTAATATAGGCTATAGTGTATTTTCAAAAAAGTTAGAGTTCCGTATGAAAACTTCGATAATGTAACCCAATGTGTGTATATATATAATACCAAAAAATAGCCTATATCGCGTACGCTGCGGAAGTCATTGACAATAGAGCAGTGATGTACTAAAGTTTTATAGCGGATATCACCTTCCTCGATAAATGCACTGTCCAATACAAAAATATTTTTTCAAATCGGAACAGCAGAGCAATATTGCATTCGGTGTAACGGTTCCTAAACTACGCAACATTTTTTTTACTTGGAATGGAAGGTTTATAATTATTACGAAAAAAGTCATTGTATATAATACAAGCCTTTGAACAGAAAATATAGTCTACACTACAGCTCTACATCGAAGCAAAGCGAGAGCGGGCCGCTAGTAAATAATAAAGAAAACAAGATGTATCGGTTTCATATAATTTTATGGCGCTTACAGAAGAACAGTAGTTAGCATTAAACTAATGAGGTTCAACATTATCGCCCCATATCTCAACAAGGTAGTTGCCTCGCTTGGTGGTCATGCGCAGCGACAGGTGGTTGGTCCCAACGCCGGCGGCGTTGGGACAACGGACGCCACTTAAGTGGCGCCGACGCGGCTGACACGGCAACTGTTGATCCTGATGGAGGCGACACCGCACCAAGTGTAGTTCACTGTATGAACTAATTCCTGTGAAAAACGCCACCGTTTTCGCCTAAGCCAATTGAATCCTTCTTAATTAATAACTTTGCATGAAGATATAAGCTACGAGTTTGTATTTATTTCTATTTTTGTCTTTACATAATTTTATTGCTTCGGATTGTTATGTTATATCTTATCATCGAGATTGTTAACTAAATAATAAAAAAGATGAATCTGTTTCATAAAAAAGTTTTATTGTCTATAAGATTACAAATCATTATCATTAGAATACACTAAATATTGTAAAAAGAAACAACAATTATTAAATGGCGCGTACAAAAGAGCAGAGGTTAGAATTAAACTAATGAAGTACAACATTATCGGCCCCATATCTCGACGAGGTAGTTGAGCCCCCTGCCGCGCGCGGTGGTCATGCGCAGCGACAGGTTGTTGGTTCCAACGCCGCCGCCCGTGCGGACAACGGACGCCCCCTGCGCGGCGCCGACGCGGCTGACACGCCAACTGCTGATCCTGACGGAGGCGGCACCGCGCCAAGTGTAGTTCACTGTCTGCACCCTGTTGGCGACGCCTCCCACGATGAACTGTCTCCTGTATAATATAAATTAAAACTTTAGAACTACAACAATCTTTTTTGCGAACACGTCATGGTTTGATAACATAAAGTCTTGTGTCAACTTTCAATAAAACTATTTCTTAATTCAAACTTAAATCCATTTATTCAATTTAGGCTGTTACAAGCACACATGAAAGTCTTAAAGCTACGCAATCGGTTCGTAAAGCTTCGACGGAAGACCTTGTACTGAGACTATCCGGCGGCAAGAAAAAAGCAAGGGTTTTTTTCACCACGTATTAAATAAATAATTTAGAAATTAAATTTAAGGTTGAAAAATTATGGAAATATTGTTAATTACACCCAATTCGTCTATTTTTCAAATTATGTATTTTTGACGCTTTTTATACGCCTATTAGCAAAAAAATTAATGACTTTTGGTTGTCCAAATAAGTAAAACTAAAAAAACGACAGCTACAATTGAATGTATAGGTCCTACGGAAACTGATTTCTGTGCTGCAAACTCATGCAACACCTTGTTAATCTCGGATTTTTATTTCGTAATATAACTATTTTATATCGTGTGAAAATAATTTCTCTAATAATTCTCAAAACTAAAACTCATCTTTTCACACATAGGTAATACGTATGTATAGTTTTACCTTACTAAAAGCCTGTTGGCTCGGTCGAAGGCCAATGGTATGAGAGACACGTCTTGGTCCTCTACAATGTTGGACTCTTTGAACTCAGCGGGTGGCAGTGCCGCCACCAAACCCACCACAGACAACACGGACAACAGAATGAACAGCTTCATCTGAAATTGAATTTTATTTTTATATAATACTAGCTATCCCAGCGAACTTCGTACTGCCATAAAAAAATAGGGGTTGTTGGTTGAAGGGTGAAAATTTAGGGTTCTATGTAGGTTTGTATGATGTATCATAAAAAAAACAAAAGAATTAGTCCAAAAAAAATTAAGGTTGGACATTTTGTCCGATTCTCAGACCTACTGAATATGCATATAAAATTACATGAAAATCGGTCGAGCCGTTTCGGAGTAGTTCAATTACGCACACCGTGTACACAAGAATTTTATATATTAGATATAGTGCAGGATTTTCGCGTTCTAGTTTTCGATTTTCCAAGTTAGAGCAATATCTTGGAAATCGTAATGGATAATCCGTGAAACAGTGACCAAAATTTGCCATTCATTCATTTATCAAACATTCAAAACTCATATTTTATAAGCCAGAAGAATCTTTATGCATAAATTCGATATCTACAGTAATACAAACACAGAACGGCGTACACTAAGTTTAGGTCACAACACTAACCTAATCCACTGAACATAAACAACTATTAATTATGATTAACGAAATTATGCATAATATTTTTTGTGTAATTATGTAATCTTGAAAATATGCCTTAGTAAATTCGGGCATAGTTAAAACTATTCGGTCAAATAATAATTATATAAAGAAATGCCTTATAAATGTTCCTTTAAAGAAGATTAGGTATGAAATATATTTTGGAGCAACAAGATTCTGCCAAATAGATGGAATCCCTGTGTATCTAATATATAAAATTCTCGTGTCACAGTGTGCATAATTGAACTACTCCGAAACGACTCGACCGATATTCGTGAAATTTTATATGCATATTCAGTAGATCTAAGAATCAGACTACACCTCTTTTTCATCCCCCTAAATGCTTAGGGTGTTCCACACTTAATTTTTTTTTTGACAAAAATTTTCAAATTTATTTTTTTATGGTACATCATACAAAAATACATACAACCCAAAATTTTCACCCTTCTACCACCCATATGTTTATGGCGATACGAAGTTCGCTGGCTCAGCTAGTAATTATATAACAAAATTACTTAAGAAGATTTTTTTTTTTTTAAGATTAAGAAGATATGTCAAGTGTGTTATGCCGAATGAATTTTGTATCAACAAGATTCTGCCAAATAGATGTAATCCCTACATGTATCTATAAAAAAGTAACAAATTTTCTTTCTTACCTTTAAAATGAAATTGCGATATTGATGTAGAGAAAAAATAGGCACACTTAGCTCGGTGACTTCAGAAACTTACTGTGATTAATGACAAACGTTACACCTATTTATATCAAAAAAAGCATGTAAACTGCGTAGATTAAGTAGATTAAAAAAAACTTTTCTTTATGTTGATTCTAATCCTTGTTCTTATAATTTATCGATTTGTTTTATTATCATTGAATGCTATCAAAAATAAAATCTTTTAGGCTGTAAAACATCCTCAATAAAAAAATATTGATGTTGTTTCTATTGAGGATTAATTGATGTAACCTAAATGGAGAGGCAGGGCATAGCAGATTTCCCACTCGAATTGGAGCACCCGTCTGGGAGAGTAACCTCCACAGGAGAACACAGTAAAATAACACTACCTTTTGATGGTGTTGTGTTTATGTCGGTGAATAAAGGTCCAGGGTTCCACAGGGTAGTTGGATTGGGTTAGGGTAGGCAACAGCGCGAGAGCGAAACCTCATGGAAAGCATTGGAAGCCAAGCCTTCTGTGAGGAGGTGATGCTGCAGAGAGAGGCTGAGGAGCGCAACGAGAGGCAAATCCTCTCTCTGAGCTGATCCGTAGAAGGCGGGGCAGGCGGCGGGGAAACACTCGCGTACAGGTCTTGCAGTAGGGACTAGGGATGCCCGAACACCCGGTGCCCGTAAGGACAAGAAGTCCCATGAGTTTAGCGATGCTCCAAGTATTCCGGTGCATCGCCCGGTAAGCGGTAGGAAGGGACATGATGCAAGACCTTGCCTTCCTTCCTTCCTTCCTGCCCTTCCTTCCAAAGGTGGGCTTGCTCAATAACAAGCAGTCGGACCCGTAGAGGCGCTTAACGTCGATGCTGTTGAAACTCCGTGGGGCATTCATTCTCGTCTGTTAGGTAGGCAGGGGAGAGTCCGACATAACCTGCTCACCATTGTTCAGTGAGTGGGTATGCGTAAAGCATTTACCCCACGCAAAAAAAAATGACAACGAACAAGCGAGGGATTTTTTTTCTATCGCAAGTGTCTTTATACTCGAGGAGCTCGATGGCGCAAGTATTTAGCGCGTTCAGCTGCGATTGTTGAAGTTAGGCTCTGTCAACTCTGGACCAATTACACAAAAAAGTCCTACGATGGAATTAGAGTTGCCTGTAACAACATCTTTAGGCATTTAATGGGTTACACGCGGTATTGTAGTGCCTCTGAAATATTTACACAGGCATGCGTTGACTCGTTTAGTTCCATTCAAGGGAAACGGGTAGCTTCTTTTAAGTCTCGAGTTTACAAGTGTGATAACAAAATTATCACTAGTCTGGCGAAAATATTGATGGCATCCAATATGTATAAACGTTGGGTGCAAATAACCCATAACAATTTCAGATAATTTGAGAATTTAAATTATTTAATGAACATAATTTGACTGAATGTTTTATATTATTTTATTCTGTTTTTAATTTTATAAATCTTTAATTCAATTTCAATTAATTTCAATGTCTTGTTTTATTACTAATATTATGTATATTAATGTAATTGTTGTGTTTTTTTTAAAATTATGATATATGATTATAAATTTTGATACGAGTATGTATCTCGTGTCTGAAATAAATGCTTTATTATTTTTACTATTATTAAGCAACTTTCGCTGTGGTCGGTGATTGACCAAAAATTTACTATCTCGAGCTCCTCCGTGCTTCGGAGGGTACTTCGGACGTTGGTCCCGGCTGCATCTGCAATCGTTAGCACCCACCAATCCGCACTGGGCCCGCGTGGTTGGTCATGGCCCGAACTCCCTATTCCATCGATAGGGAAGTCCTGTGCCCCAGCAGTGGGGATATTAATATGCTGATGATGATGTGTCTATACGCTATGGTAGCTGTGCTTACCATCATGCAACCCAAATGCTTGATTGCTACCCTTTTAACATAAAAAAAAACATTGATTCCCTGATTATGTTGACGAACTTTGTTATAAGTATCTGTGAAAAAAAATATTTAACAAAGTGATTGTTTTTTATTCAAAATTGATTTGCTATCGCGCTCGCGCGTGAAACGTAGATTAAATTTATTTTTAAATCATTAAAAAAACAAATGAACAGGGTTATGCAGAAGTAGCTTTATTCTATGTATATGTCGATTTATTCATTTTTTACCAGATAATATCCATTCCAAACTAAACAGATGACCGTCAAACATAATCGTTTCTCAAACATGCTTGGAAATATGAGCATTATTTTGGCATCTTCTTCGAGATAAATCAAAATTGCTGTACTGATCACATACATGTGAGCAGTGGTCGGCAAAAGTGGTATGATAATAATCCATATTTGTCGTATTTTAGCTACCAAATGAAAGTAAACTCAGTTCCATTTTTATTATCTTTTATTTTTAAAACATGGCTATTTTAAAAATCTTTTATTTTTAAATTAGCCATGTTTTAAAAATAAAAGATAGTTCCATTTTTATAAGAATACTTATGAAAGGTTTGATTTAAATTTTGAACTGCTATGCAAATAAAAACCTTTAAAAAAAAGAACTAGTGCTGTTGTTATTCATTGATTTTGTAAAGTAGGTTATGTTATTGTATTTTTAAATAATGAGTTCTGGCTAGGTACTTACTTTTAATGTCCACGCATTATTTGAGAAAATTACAATACAATCCTTGGTCACAACTAGGCATTAATGGTCTTACGGATGCAAATTTCTTGAGCCATAAACCAAAACCATAGACAAACATGTGCAGTAGACTTTTTTGTATGTAAAGTTGCTACTGCACAGGCTCCCTTGTCCGTGGTTGATGTTGAAAAGCAGTTTGGCGGAGAGTTTACCTACGGGTTACATTGCCGCAACCGGTCTCCTTGTTTATTTCCTTCATATTCGACCTTCTTGGCCACCACTAATTATAACAGATTCGTACAGGTCGCGGCACGTAACTCTAGCGCTGAACAAAACGCAGACGGGATAGCTGCGCATGGCTACGACTGGAGAGCGTACCTCGTTTCCCCCAAAGACATCTTAATTTTTACTTCTACGCAATAACGATCAGCGCTAGAGTTTCGTGCCGCGACTTATAGAAGATTTTTATTTAGCTTAAAATCTGAGGCACACATACGTAAGCCCATCAATGCCTAGTTGTGGCCAAGCCTTGTATTGTACTTTTCTCAAATTATGCGCAGAAATTAAAACTAAGTAAGTAGTAACCTAGGCAGATCTTTCGAAATTCTGGAATTTCAGTGACAAACACCGAAAAACAATAAAAAAAATATACTACACCTGCTCGGAAAGTGCTTTATAACTTGAAAAAAGGTTTATGTTTGACTGTATATTTTTTTTGATGTATGTTCACCGATTACTCCGTCGATTGTGGACCGATTTCCAAATTTTTTTTCTATTGGAAAGAGTGCACTTCCGATGTGGTCCCATTGGAACCAAGTCAGGATCTGATGGTGGAATCCGGGGAAAAAGAGGGAAACCTTCAAATTTCTATGGCACGCACGATGTTTTCTCCGTCAATTGTGTTATTGTTTACTTGAACGATGTCATTTTTACTAAAATATATGAAATAAAAAAAATTTAAACAAAAACTAAAACCAACTTCAAAATTGAAAATGGAACTTAAAAAGTAAAAAATAATATCTGGTTCATGATTTGGAAGTCGGAAGGGCTCAAGATCGAAACATTAAATAGAATTTCGTTTATGATCGGTAATAATACGTCTTTCAATCTTGACCTGCCCGACTTCCAAATCATGAACCAGATATTATTTTTTACTTTTTAGTTCCATTTTCGATTATGAAGTCGGTTTTATGTGTTGTTTAAATTTTTTTTCTTGTTTTAAGAATGAAACAGTAAGGACGTCATTAATGTTGTACTACTAAGCGGGTTGGAAAAGTGTATGGAAAACCATTTTAATGCTCTGAGCGAGCAGAAAAGTCTATGATAATTCATTGTTACCATGCTGTTTTTTTTTAATTTTCTTTATTTTTTATTTATACTCTGAAAAAGCAAGTGGTCAGTATGATTGTGCAGACTTAGCGATCAATGTTTTTAACATTAGTGTACTTGCTTTTTGAATATTATTTTTGAAAAAAAAAAACAAAAAGTAAAAAGGCTCTGATTATTCTCGCTAACCCACATAAATGCAAGCAGTTTAGTTTACTTTTTTAAATCTCAAATTAAGATTAATTTGTCGCCGCGTAAAATTTGAAACAATAATTAGCATTTATCAGTGACCTTATTGGATGATTAGCGGACTTTTTTGTTATCTGCGCGATTCAGTGAAATCTTGTATTCGATAACTGATAAAATATCAATATCACATAATGATTGTCTCCAAATAGAAAATTATGACTGTATCGCGATTTCTATATTGCGATAAGTTTTGTTTACTGATGTGTTATAAACAACTCTTTGTTTAGTAACATTTTCCTGGTTCGATAAAACGGAAATTTGACCTAGTAAACTAATTTGTGTCTTTTGGAGTGATAGTTCTTAAAAAAAGTGAATTGTTGTTTATTTTGTAAAAATGTTTGTTTATTAATCTAGAATGCTTATGCAAATTTTTCTGAGCACTACGTGATCGTAGTGAAATTTTGAATAAAGATTCATGAAGAATATATACGAGTATAGTTTATAATTATATGTTTTTTATGTGTTATAAAGCTATAGTTTTCACCGAAACGAAGCGTATGCAATTCACTAGTCTAATGGCCCAATTACACTTGGTCGTTAGCCCGAATACGAGTGCCAATAGAATTCAAGTAGACGACTAAGTGTAAAAGAATGTAGTCGAGTACGCCCGTATTCGGGTAGTTTTTGTTTTGATAACCCGACACCGTCTTCCAGCCCGTATTAAAGTTTGAATATTACTTCGGGTGCCCGAATTCGAGAATAGTCTTTCATACACCCAAATACGGGCTAGCGACCAAGTGTAATCGAGCCATAATTTTATAAAGTCAATCGTAGTTTACTGTTCATTACTAACACACTGACCTGCTTTTAACTAAATTTATTTTATACTGAATGGTAAATAACGCTTATCATATTGCTACTTAAATGCATTCTTATGCTGCGTTTCCATCTGTGCTCAGAACTGTTCTGAGCGATGAAACATTTGTTCGCTCAGTAATTTAATGCTCAAAACAATGTTGCCTTGTTTCCATTGCTGACTGTGCAAGAGAGCTTTCGTTCCCTGAGTCCAGTTAAATATCGTTGTACCAACTAGTTCGCTTGCTCACTGCTCAGGTATTTCTATTTACCGAACGAGCAAATGTTCTCTCGTTCACAACTGGTCAGAGCTTAAGTGGAAACACAGCATAATATATTATATGTTCTACGAAGTAGTTCTTAATGCGTTTTAATTTCCTTTAATCGTATCATTTTATGGCATTTAATCACAATTTATTGTTTTAAACTTTCATAGTCACTAACATTATAGTAATATAAGTACGGGATTGTTGCCACGCACGCTTAGATTTAAAAAAAAGGGAAGATACGACACTCGCGACTCAAAAGCCGCTTAGATTGTGGTGCATGACCATAATTAGCTTTAGACAATAAGACATCCAAACACGATGTGTGTGCACTCAATATAATAATATTGCGTATATTCTGTGTTATAATGATAAACAGTACCTTCGATGCTTTTATAAAGAACACAAATAGTTCAAAATTGAATAACTAATTTCTCGGCAACACCTTTTATTCGTAAACTATAAAATCATTTATTTTCTCAAAAATCACGGTTTGCCAAGAATGTTAG